CCTATCGAAGTTGTACTTGATGGTCGAATTCATTTTAGTCCATTCCTTTCTTCTTATTGTGGAATTTGTTTGTCAATTTCAAATATTCTTTGTCTGGCCGTCATACAACCTATTTTAATTTCCAAAAAGAGCATACTTTATTTACAATTTTGTTCTTATCAGAAAATTTTCAGATGGGTGTAGTCATCCCGCTTGTGTCAGTTACTGCATTCTGGCTGCTCATCGGTGCTGGTGGCCCCTTTCTCGTTCCAAAGGGACCTAATAGAGGTATGTGTTAACCTTTTTTTCTCTTCTTGTAGTTATAAAGAAAATTCTAGGCTTTTACCCCAGTCCATGTAATGATTGTATCATTTTAGGAATCATCCAAACTATGATCATAATGACGGCTGTCTGTTGTCATCTGTTTTGGATCATGGTAAAAATTTTGCCAAATAGTAATGTAAGAGCTTTAAACCATCATTTCAGATCTATCTGCATCAGCTTAATCCATTAATCGGACCTCAAATCAATGTAAAAACGATCCGTTGGATTTCACTGAAGTGGGGGGATTCACCGAACCTTGTTCCGCTCGGCCAGTAGATCTGGGTAAACCTATCTATTTCCTGCCAACATTCGCGATCGAAATCTATCTTGGTAGTTGCACCTCGGGAGTCAACATTTTCTCAAGCTTCCGAAATCATACACATCGTCCTTTGTTCTGTGAGCACACTTTGTGTAGTTTTGTTATATCTTCAACAAGTCGCATTCCTAAAGCTCATGTACCACGTTTGTACAAAATTATACACTTCGCAACTGCTCCATTATTTACAAGTTCAATTTATACGAACAGTGTCTATGAAATGTGAATAAGTTTTCTCGCTATAAGAAACCTAGGTTTCCGAGATAAATGTATATTACAATGTAGTCAGTTAGCGTTTTACATTTTGTGCAGCCAAACTCATCCTTTTGTTTGAACATCATAGCAGTTATCATGAATCCGCATGCACATGATCTTCACTACAAACAATATTTTTATTCTAACACGATCAGCGACTTTATATTCACTTCTTGTATCCAGTCATAAACTATATTTTCTTTTTTTCAAACTAGCATTGGT